TTGGTTTGGTTTGGTTTGGTTTATAAATTTAAAAATCCGACACAAATGGTTTGGTTTAATATTTGAAAAACCTGAACCAATCCGACCATGTACACCCTTAATTGACGTGATCTTTTAATTATGTCATATAATCTCTTTTATTAATTACTAACTCGAATATGTTATTTATGTAAAATTTTGCGTGCGCCACTCAAATATTGATAGATAAATACATGCGGCGTTCAACGTTTAAGGGACAAAAATGTACCAAGGGACAAAATCAACTTTATTTTTTTATTTTTTGCAACTTTTCATTTGTAATATTTATGTCCACTTAACTTTTCTGTGAGTGTGACTCATCAGCCAAAAAACATTTTTTTCTTTTAAATTTTTTTTTTCTTCTCAATTTGCCATTATTTTTCACAACCATACAAATTATTGTAGGTGATTGTGACCCACACGGGATGTTAATTTGACTTAAAGAGAGGTTGCATGGGGAAATTTATTGTTCGAAATTTTGAATGAAATAATGACGGTAAAACAAATTAAAAAAGTTACGTTATGTTTTAATTTGTTTGATTGATTTATTTATTCACAAAATTTAACTAAAAATAAATAAATCTTGTAATTTTAAATTAAATATATTTGAAATGTATCAACATATTCTTTAATATTATGATATTAAAGATTGTGAAATGTTTTAGAATTAACATATTATAAAAATACAAATGTTCATTTTAAACTAATTAAATAAAGCAAATAAAATTAAAAAGAGAATATTATTATGAAAGGGGTTGACAATTGGCTGAATAAATTCTATATGACAATATTTGATTGATCACAAAATTTGAAGAAATAAAATAAAATAAAACTCATGCGAAAACAAGTCCTAAATATTTTTTTTAGATATAAATCATCTTATTAAAAATTAAATTAAAATTAAATTATCTCTATATAAGTATAACATCCTTTTTAAAATTGAACCCTCAATATAAAGAAAATCACACTATGAGCACCACATCTAAAATGAGCTCTACAATGTATGATTCGAATTTAATTAGAGCTTTAATGCGAACATCAACACAAAATGAAAAACAAAAAAGAAGTTTTACAAAATTATAATAAATAAATTGAGAAAAGTTAAAATATTATTTAGTGAATGGAGTTGGAGCTAGAATTAGAATTGTGGTTTCTATAATGTCTTAGAATTTTGATATAGTACCAAAATAAAATAAAAAGAGAAACTAATGGAGTTGACTAATATTTTAATTATGTTTTTTTCAAGATGATGATGACTAATTTTGGATTCTCTCCTAATGTTTTTTGATCAGTTAAGCTCGTCACACAAAACTTGTTTAGTGCGTTTTTTGTCCTCAATTGAAAATAGTAGCAATTTGTCATGTACATTTAATGACAAAAATAAAGACAAAAATAAAAAGAGCTTGAGCATTTTGTGATAGATTTGTTGTTCACATTGTTAACATTTAATAAATTTGATCTCTTGCAAAGTTGTCACAAACTAATGGACCAGATAAACAATGTGATAAATACACTTACGTCTCTCCAAAGTTGTCACAAGTTCATGGACTAGATAGATAATGTGAAAGGAAAAAAAGTATTTTCAATATTTTTATAAGTTTAAGAATCTTGTCAAAATTTCTTTATTTTACTTTTTAAGACACAATTACAATTATTTTTCTAATTAATAAAACCATGTAATATAATTAAGACTTTTAATTTTTTTTATCTATCTATATATATACACCCTTGAATTTGGTGCAAATTATTAATTTCGTCCCTGAATTATTAACAATCTTAAAAGCACCTTTTTACTTGATTAACTAAAATTCTCAATGGGATGATTTATAGTCACACATATATCTCTGAATTGTTTTACACCATAAATTTTAAAACACTTTTTTTTCTTTAAATTTCGTATCAAATCAAACAGTATCATATAAATTGAAATAGAAAAAATACTTAATAGTTAAATTTAAATTTTAAAGTTCAATTTATAAAAGTATTTTAATAAAATTAATAATCAAATTAATATGGACCAAGTAAAATAAAATGGAGAAAATATGTACTAAAGGAGGTCACAAATATGGAATATTAGTGAGAATAAAAAACAAGAAGAGAAGGTTAAAAGAGGCAGAAAAAAAGAGAATATTAGGTAGAAAAAGGGGTGTACCAAAAAGGCTACTTTTAACTAACCACTTTCTTTCCATTAAAATACAAACCACCTTTTCTCATTTATTACTTTTTTTATTTATAGTATTTATTATCTCATCCATATATTCAATTTATTGTCTCCCTATCTAACCTCTTTATCACAAGTATTGATTGCAAAAAGTTCTAACTATTTAATTAGTTGTATCTACAAATTTGTTGAGTTACTTTTTTGCCCTTCTTTTTCTTTAGTATTCTCATGCATACCACATTGTGTGTTTGGGGGGGGCAATATTGATATTTGAGTCGGTTTATACGCATCTCAAATATACTATTGATAATTTTTTATTTTTTCCAGCTTAATAAAAAAATTGAGTTGCAAATTAAATTTAAATTTTTGTATTGATGTTTTTGTATTTGATATAATTTTGACGATCGCATAATATATAATTTTAAAACAGTAAGTCCATATGCATACACTAATTTATATGTAGATGTCGCTTAAGAGAAAACGAGTTGACTCCGCAAAGTAGAAAATGCCTCCAATAGTATAATCTATTATGAGATGTATGATCATTACGCTTCAATCAAGTTATTGTATTTCACCTTTTAAAAAGAAAAAAAATACATTTAAAAATAATGTATTTAACGCAATTTCTGAATGAGGTTTAGAAAAAATAATTTTCAATAGGAGATATTCATGTTTTATAAAAGTCATAGGACAACACAAATAAGGTGAAGGTAGTATTTTAATTACAGATTCGGTCGAATTAAATAATCGTGACATAAATCTTTTTATTTAAAGCTTAAAATCACAAATTTAAAATCTTAACACTGTCTCCGACAACAAATATATTTCAAAATTTTCAAAAAAATAATGATTCATGCATAGCCATGACAAAAATTTTAACAGATAATAAGATTCCTTGTGGGTTCTAGTTGTATCCTTCTAAAATAAAACAGTCACTAATAACTGAATGCTATCATAATTTCTTAAATTATAAAACAATATAAACATACTTAATATAGGTTGTGCTTGATTTGAATATTTGTTATTTCATGTGATCCTAGTTTTATATTAGAGGAATTTATTAATTTTTTTTAAAAAAAAACATATTTAAATTGAGTGAAATATTGTTAAAAATAATGACTTTGGTACGCCTTAAGCTTTGAAAAGTTTCTTATAATATTCATAATAAAGTATTTTTCGTAATATTCATTATGGTAATACAATGCAATAGGTCGAAAATCTAATTGTTTCTGATAATGAAAAGAGTTTTTATTTTATGTAAAATTTATAAAATATTGAAATATTGGTAAAAATTTCCAACATCAAACACTCACCATAAATATTCAGATAATCAGTCAACTAAACTATTAAAATTCTTCAAAAATAACTAAAATAAAAAAGTTATAATAAAAAGGAGGGAAGGGGTATTCTTGTTTTATACTCATAATAATAATAATAATAATAATAATAATAATAATAACTTGTGTCCAATATTTGCCTTTTACTTCACACTATGTCCACCACATCACTTTTTCAACTCTATTTATTTATCACATATCTCTTCACTTACTTATTCTTTATCCACAAATGAACAACTCCACCACCGCCTGCGCCGCCGTCAACCGACGCAAAACTCTCCGCCACCGCCAGAAAAACGATGATCATCAATCCTTGATTCCAGGACTTCCCGAGGATATTGCTCAAATTTGTTTAAATTTAGTACATCATCCTTCTACACTTTTCTCCGTTTGTCATTCATGGCGTAAGCTTATCTACTCACCTTCTTTTCCTCCATTTTTGTCTCTATACGCCTTATTATTAGCTAAAAATCAAGTTGAATTTGCTTGTTTCGATCCAATTTCATCGAAATGGCAGCTTCTTCCTCCTCCGCCACCAGATCCGCCACTTCGCATCCTCGTTAAACATCCTTCGTTTATCTCCAGAAACCTTCCGATTCAATCGGTAAGCGTTTCCGGTAATTTAATTCTCCTCGCTGCAACCGCCGATCAGTTCCAGCCGGCGATTTCTCGTCCGTTGATTTTCAATCCGACGGTGAAAAAATGGAGTTACGGTCCCCCTCTCGCCGCTCCCCGCAGGTGGTGCGCTGCAGGCGCGTTAGGCAACTCGGTGTATGTAGCGAGTGGAGTTGGGTCCCATTATAATGCCGAGGTAGCTCGATCAGTTATAAAATGGGACCTGGATAACAGTAGTGGGCCCGAGTCAGATCGGGCCCACTACAAGCGAAAAAGGAGATGGAAATGGGAGGAAATGAGTGGATTAAAAGATGGGAAATTTAGTAGAGAAGCAATTGAAGCTATTGGATGGAAAGGAAAATTATGTATGGTGAATGTAAAAGGTGATGCAGCTAAACAAGGGATAATTTATAATGTCGAAACGGACACGTGGCAGGATATGCCGGAGGGGATGCTATCGGGGTGGAGGGGTCCGGTGGCGGCGATGGCGGAGGAGATACTATATATGGTGGATGAATCAAAAGGAGTGTTGAGAAGATATGATGAAGAGGAGGATGTTTGGGTGGAGATATTGGAGAATGAAATGCTTAAAGGAGCGGAACATGTGGTGGCGGACGGTGGTAGAGTTTGTGTGGTTGGTGGTGGCGGTAGTGGGATAGTGGTGGTGGATGTGGTGGTGGAGACGCCGAGGTTGGTGGTGGTTGAAACTCCGGTAGGGTTTCAAGTTTTGAATATACATGTTTTGCCTAGGATGAGCCATTGATAATTTTTCTCAAATTTTGTACTCAAAAATATGAAAAATATAGACATTACACATGCGTTCTACGTAGCAATTTGTGTGATACATATTTATGACACGTTTATGTATTATATTTTTGCTTGTGCATGTGTATATGTACAAGTTCCCACCATGAGAGCTAACATGATTTTATGCTAAAAGATGAATCTCAAGTACATGGATTATCAAAGATGTTTGTTAATTATCTTAGTTTTAGCTAATTATACCGTTGAATTGTAATTAAAAAAACACATGATAGATTTAGGCCTCATTTGTTTTGTTTGTACTTAACAAAAATCTTAATTAATCATTCATATTGTTTCTTCGAACTCAATCTTAATCATTAGGTACATTTATTTTCATAATTTTATCATCACTAATTAATGAATCTGAATAAATAAGATCAATTACAAAGTTTTAATAATATCATTCGGAAGTATTGCTTCATTCACTTTCCCTGTTAACTATTGCGGACATTGTCCATTATTACCTAGTATCATCGTTACAACCATCAATCATTAAGGACAACTGTCACAACCAATAACTACTATATTATCACTAATTAGAGGTTAATTTAAAATTTCTAAAAAAAATGGATACATTACTAAAGATAAGAGGAAAAAAATACATAATTAATCTTTTTCAATTATGAATAAATAACTTAGCTTTCAATCAAATACATCATTAAGCTTATTTATAACATGAGTACAAAAGATAATATTAGATTAATTCTAAAAAATATACACATAAAATACTTTGCGAAAAGACCACGAATTCACTTGAACCATGAACGGAGGGAGTAGTACCTTCAACTTTTTAAATTAATTTCAAAAGTCAAAAGAACCTAACACAAGATAAAAGTAATGAGCTTCACGGGTTACCTTTTTTTCTTTAATATTCGTACAAACACACTACATCGGTGTGGTATGTCTACTTTTGATCTATATATATTTATATAATTAAAATACTAATAAATATGTAAAGTAGTATTATTATAAATTAAATATTTAGAAGTTGAAACTTTGACTATTCTATTTTGATTGAAATGTATTTTAAATGTGATTGATGAATAAAAGGAGTTGTTTCTACGTTATTTTGAATATATATATTTTTACATGTGTAATATGTTAGTATGATACAATTGAGATCTTTTTTTTAATATAAATTGTGAAGTCATAATACTCTATTATACAAGTATATATTAATCGAAGTTGAACAAACTAATGTTACCGATTTACTATACTGCAAAATATCAAAATCGAACTTTAAAATACCTAACCATACTGAATTTAAATTGGTATGCTAATGGAAATGTATCATAGTACCATACCATGTTCACCCTAGTTCGAGCATGTGAAGAAAAGATGCACAAATATCTCATAGAGGAAGTGTACGAGATTGAATTTAGTAGGCATAAAGAGAGCAGTGGCGGAGGTAGAATTTTTAATAAAGGGGTTCAAAATTTGAAGGACTAAACACACAAACTAACCGAAAGAGATTCGATATCTACTATATATACATAAAAAATAATTCTAACCATATATAAATAGTAATATTTTCCGCCGAAGGGGGTTCAAATGAACCCCATAACAGAAGGCTGCCTCCGGCCCCTGAAAGAGAGGTAGAAGTAGATTGAATAAGCCGGGAGAGGTAAATAGACAAAACATGATACATCTACAGCTTATCAAGGACATGCCCTAAGATAGACTGATATGAAGGTCAAGAATTCTGGTAAAAAGTTGGTAGGTAGTTAAGTGTTGTCTAGTTTCCTTATTTGTTGTAGTTACCGCATTATCCGTTATTATTATTATTATTTACTCTCCTACTATCTTACCGTTGGAGTTGATCAATATTATATGGTTTTCCCTTTGTTGCCATTGTCGTATTATTTGTTTATTGATACTTGTTCTCTTCTTAATTGTTTAAAGCATTGACTTTTTCACTATCATATTTATTTTAGATATTTGCCTTTTTATATGTTTTACTTAAATTGAGGATCGATAGGAAACAATTTCTTACTTTTCCAAGGTAAGGTAAGACCACCACCTTCTCTAGTCACACTTTAAAAAATTACATCCAATATATTATTATAGTTGTAGTACATAACTATTTACTCATAAAATTATATTTTTCAATATCAGAATTTAATATTATTACTTTCTCTATTTCAATTTATTTATTTATTTTTAACCTTCCTTTTTTGTGTGTTTTTTTAAAAATAAATCTTTTTTCATAACTTTTTAGTTTTAACTTTCACGTAACATATTTAAGACCACAAAAATCAAATGACATTTTGATACATTCTTCATATCTTTAGTTTAAAAATCACAAATTTCAGAAATATTATTTACTTTTTAAAATTTTGTATCAAGTCAAAACAAGACAAATCAATTAAAACGGAGGAAAGTTTCAATAATTATAATCACCTAACCCAAATGTCCCTTGGAATACTTCAAAATGGCTTTCGATTTAGGGTACATAAACGGGCAATTTTTTATCCGACCCACCAAATATAAACCCACAGCTCAAATTCTTGTCTTCACTTTTGCTGATTACAGTATTGCAAAATTGCAAGCCATAGCTCAAAGGTAACTAACTACATTTATTCTTTTTTTTTCTTTCAAAGTTGTAAACTTCAGTTATTTTGTTAATCTTCTAATTTGCATTTGTTTTTTTTTTTAATGCATAAAGGGGATTTATTGATTGAAATTAGATATTCTTGTTTGTGCCTTTGATTGTTAGATCCATAAATTCAGAGGCGGAGCCAGGATTACGAGAGAGAATTTTTTTCTAAAGAGTGGGATTCAAACCCACAATTGTAGTGTGGAAAGTATCTTCACGACACATTCCTTACTACTGAGCTGTCAATTAGTTTTTGTAGGAGTTCATGAGTTAGTATACATATATATTTATTTAACTTTCTCGTACAAATACAGGATCTACAAAAAAGCTACTGGGTATGTCCGAACCCACGAACCCCCACCTAGCTCCGCCCTTGGATCCATTTACCATGATTTTTTGATAGACTGGTTGAAAGTGAAACACCGTTATTATAAGTTAAGCAAGCAAATCTGTGTGGGTGAGGTGTACGTCATAGGATCGAACCCTTCACAGACAAATGTTTGGTAGTGGAGAAGGATAGAGGGGCGGGTCCATTATAGGTTCAAAATGTGTGTCCCTGGGGATTGAGGGTTTCTCGGTTATAAAAACTAAAAACAAAAAGTCTCTGGGCTCGAGCCATATTAGTCCCTTGTTAGTGTTTAATCAGGGAAGTCATCCTTTGAAGATATAATATAATCCTTTGGGCTCACACCTCTTATTTGTTACAGTTCTAGTGGATTTTTAAACATAAAATTTTATGTTATGTCGAAAATATTGGGTATCGCAACTGTGGATCCGCCCCTGCTTCCTTCATATTTGTTTTTTCTTACTCAGTTTGCAAGCATGTTGATTCATTTTATGTTGTTAAGGGCCTTATAGCATCTCCAACTGGCCATTGAAGTGTTGCAATTCTGCATTTGCCTGAGGTACATGGCTGACAGACATTCGGTTGATCAACATCAAAATATTGAACCACAGATAAATTCTCCTACTTCAAGGGATGACATGACCGCCTTTGTAGTTGCATTAGAAGCTGCCTTACTACCCTGTTTGCCGGCACGAGAACTCCAGGCAATAGACCGTTCAGCTCATCCATATCATCAGAGTGAGTAATTTCTGGCATATATTTGTATGTATCTAGAAGTTCACGTGAATCCAGTAGCTTTTGTCCAAATGTTGTGCCTTTGAAGGATTGTCAGATGAGTGTTTGAAGGATAAGCATAGTGATAAATCAGAAGAAAGCAATAAAACAGAAATATTATACTTACATCCTTTGTATTCAAAACTTCTGGTTTGCTTTAGAATCTCCTCTATCAGTGTTATTTTTGAAACCTTATATCGGGTAATTTTGTCCATAATCGTCTATATTTTTTGCCTTTGTTAAGATTTGAATTATGGTGTTCCATTGTCGTTTCCAGCTTCATTTGACACTAGGCTACACCCTTGAGTTCAATATGAATCCAGCCAGGGTTGGGACTAATAAGGATATTGATCCCATTTCGTCGAAGAATTATATTTGCCATATATGCTCCAACGCATCAACAACTAGTCATCAGTCGTTCTTTTTCTTTGGATGAGTAGATAACATACAATGTTTTAGATTGAAGTGTAGTTACGGTTGTTGTTTGAGTGGATGATTACAACTAGTCATCAATTGTTTCAGGCTCTAAATGTACCAAATATTGCACATTTATGGAAATCATTCAGGCTTCTCTATATTGATGAAGCACAATCTCTTCTCTGATTCTAAGATTCCTTTCTGTATCTAGATAGTGCGAGTATCCAACCACTGATTAGCAGAAAGCAGCAGTGTTTTCGTAGCACTACATTTCCCTTGTGATGTTATTGGAAATGGCAACATTGAGATAAATGTTTTGTTGCTTCACAGTTTGTATATATCTTTTGGCTGATCGAGTTTTGTTTTTGTTCCACAGTCGATGTTGAGAGACATGCTAGAGATTTCATGGAAGCTGCAAAAAAACTTCAACTTAATTTGGTTGGGTTGCAACGTGAAGATCTGCCCACAAGGCCCGAGATGCTTCGGAAGGTAATTTGTAGGAAACTCTTCCATTGTTAGAATTAGCATCAACTGTGTATTGAAAAATAGTCATTGTCCCGGAGTTTCAACTTCCACAAGTGAAACACTACGACATTATCCTGGAGATTCACTTGTGGAATTTGAAACTTAGGGAGTGTGACTATTTTTCAATCACCAAAGGACTTGTAATTGCTATCCCTCCCCTTTTTACCATTGCTAAATATGTAATTTCTTACCTATAGGAGATAGAGAAGATGGAAGAAGAGTTGGAAACAAAAACTGATCTCATAGCTAAACAAGAGAGATTGATCCAAGGATGGAGGAAGGACTTAAAGGACCAACTAGATAAACACACCATGGAGTTAGAAAAGGTGTAAACCATAGATAACTAATGTTGCCTTGTTTTTTTCCAACAGCATTGACATACAACATATGATTTGACAGAACAAGTCTTGTTTCTTTAGGTAGAAGCACTAAAGAAGATACAATCTTATTTCAATTTTTTACTTTCATCTTGTTAACTGACTTAACCACAATACCTATTCAAAGACAAGTATTTTTAGTGAGGGGTTGTTTGGTATGGAGAAACTTATCCCATTTCTGTAGTACAAATGGTAAGATAACAAATTCCAAAACTAATTAATACACCTAAACAAACATAGAATAGAACTTTATTATATTTCAAGATTATTATCCCTTATCCCTCGTATCAAACAACCTTTATATGCTAAAATCCATGTCCACAATTATCAAAAAGGGTTCTCAACAGGATGAATGCATATGCAAGTCATTTTTCATGAAAAATGACTACTCAGCATCCATACAGGGAAGCAGAAGATAAACTGCAGATCACTTTTGAGTCGAACAAAACAGCTCCAAGGCAAAATTATTTAAAACTCACAAAACCCACAATCATATTGTATAATTTTCACATATGAAATGTTTTCTCGACGACATGTCACACAGCTATAGCAGATGGTGAACAGAGACAGATTGTTTACAGTGACCCGAGTCTCAGTAACAACTACTTGGTAAAATACCAAACACGCAAACCACAAAGATAGAGAACATAAAATCTAAATGCAACACTTGAGTAGACTGACGACAATACTTAATATCTAGTAGACTACATTCAGAGGAGTTCATCCTGAACTCTTACACACCAACACTTGGAAAGCATTCAATTCCACCTCAGTTTTCCGAGCTGTAGGAGGCCTCGCCAGATGATGAACTCTCTAGCTGAAGCAGCTTCATCTCCTCATATGCCCATTCAAGACCAGGACAGTAGTGAAGTGGCGGATTGAACCTGGTGTCAGAGATGTCATCTGGCAAAAATGCACCATTTCTAATCAAGAATTTAATCGCTTTCTTCTTTTTCTCTTTGGCAGCATGATGGAGAGGAGTCCCTGAATAAACAAAGCGATATAAAGATAACAGTAAGGATTAGAAAAGAAGAAAGCGCATAGCCTTATGTTAGATATTACTAAAAATAATTCAGGCACTTACATGCACATGCACCCTTGGCTCGAGCATCGATATCAGCACCTCTCTCAAGCAATTCATCCATAACTCTCACGTGACCTCCCTTAGCAGCAAGATGAAGTGGGGTCATACCAAATGATTTTGGCCCCCCTGCCATCACATTTGCATCCATGCCTTCATTAAGAAGCCTTCTAACCTGTCCCAAGGAAAAGAAGAAATACAATCACAAAAAAATGTTAAGTCTAAACCAACGTAAAGATGACGGAAGAGAGAATGCATTCAAAGATGTATCTGTCTGATGTCTGATGTCTGATGAATTCTGTAACACCAAAAAACTTTTATAGCACAGGAAACTTGTAAAAAAGAACTTTAAAATAAAAACCCAGAGAGGCTAAGATACTGTGTATCCAAGTTTTCTCCCAATCTAAGATTTTGTCTTATGTTCCAATCTATTTTAAATAATACTAAAGCACTTTCTGGATAGGAGGCAACCATAGAGGTTTGGTGACATTTGACAACCATAGGCAGGTAGTGGTGACAGAGAATTAAAGGATACAGGAAAAGGCAGGGTGAGGGGACTCATACATACGATCAGGGGCCTGAATTTGGTTGTGACCTGTCATAAGCGCAGGATAGGAACCAACAAACATAATTTTGCTTATATGCTAACAGAACTCATAGGTCAATGAGTTACATCACAAGCCACAACCATACTTGTATGACTTTAGAAGGTTAGTTGTGTTCATTTTTATTTTCCACTAATAAGAGGGCTTTGGTTTCCCCGACCCCACCCCAGACACACACAAAGCCAAAAAAGAGAAGCTGAACCTAACTCATACTTCCTCTCCCATCTGCCCCATCCCCCAAGAGTTGTTGGAGATGTTGATTGAAAGAGTCACTGATTTTGTGGATTATGAAGTACTCCATTTGTTACTACAGAGAAAATACATGTGCTTTAAAGGGGGAGAAGAAAAGAACCAAATTAACTTCGACACTAAGAGACAAGAAATCGATGTCAATGCAGTAGCAGAGCACAACGCCAAGACCATACTGATTTTTGAGTCCTTTATATACAGTAGGACTATTTTTGCATTGACCGACAACCTACCACAACCCTCCCCCTGAATAAAAACCTATCATACAATGAAAAGGCTTTGATGTTGGGCCTATCTTCTTAGTTATCATCTCAAAATCCTTATGTTCCCATTAGTATTAACTCAATATCATATAATGTATATTTATAACAAATTGTCCAATAGCAAACCATAATCAATAGACATTATCTAACTATTAAACAGCAGTAATTGCACACGAAATTAAGCATCTGATACATGCTACATACATGAAAGATAAATTACCTGTTTCAGGTCACCTTTCCGAGCAACAATGTGAAGTGGAGTCCAACCGCGATCATCCGTATCACCTGCAGTCATACGCATTCTTCTCGATCGTCGAGTTGAACCAACCTGATCCTCCTCCATTTTCCTCTTCTCCACTTCCCTAATAAACAAAGCTCCAAAATCCAATCCTTATTGCCACAAATTGAAACAAATACTCAATCCAATTCTATTCTTTCTTGCAGAATCTTCTTTCACAGTGTCCGGAAGAGAAATTTCGAAAAACTAATCAACAACAAGTCTAAAGACTCTACTTGTATATCAGTTACTGAATCTCAATACACCAAAACAAGACCTTTTTACATAAAACTAACAACTTTGACCAACAAGATTGATCTGTCTTCCGACTACGAGAAAAACCCAGAAAAGTCTTCAATAGACAAGACCCAAAACAAGTGATAATCTTCTTAAACACCCTTCAATTTTACATGATCCAGGGGCAAACAACCAAGAAAAAATTAGGGCTTTAGCGAGAGGAATGATTAGCCAAGTTGTAAGGACCAAAAGGGTTCAATCCAGGACCAAAAACACGAAGATTTGTAAGCTTATTGAACACACAAGATGAAGTGAAACGAAGGAATGCAGAGATTATCATTATCAATTCAAAAAACCACGCAAACACTATATATATAATAGCTGTTTTTTTACGGGAAAAAAAGGGCTATTATATGAATCCTTGATGAATTTGGAATATGTTTGGAGGTTGCATATGTGTAGATGAAGGGATTTTTCTTGTTTGATTTGGTTTGGGGTTTGAAGGAATTGAGAGGAAGAAGGAAGAAGAGAAACCCTAGAATTTTTGAGGAGGATATTGGAGAATGGATGGTTTAGGATATTTATTGGGCCTTTTGGTATGTAGTTATATTCCAATTTTGCTTCAAAAGTTTTTTTTTTGCTAGATTAGGAAAGAAAGAAATTACTCGAAAAAATTATAAATCTCGACCACCGATCCTGAGACTCGAGCCTAACCCCAACCTTGAGAATCGACTTGACCTAACTAGAGACTTGAATTCGATAATGAGATATGACCCCTACCTCGAGACTCCATCCCTACCTTGAGACCTTACCTATCTTGAGACTTGACCCTGACACCATCCCAATACTTGATCGAGTCTGGGGTTGGGGTTTGATTCTATGTCAATATAGGGTCGGGCCCTATTTCTATTCGAGGTCAAGGGTTGAGTTAGGGTTCATGGCCAGGGTTGGAGAGGGACTTGGATTGACTATCAGATCCCAAACTAGGGTTGGTTTGGGTCTTAAGTCGGGGTGGATCTCAGATTGAATGAAAAAGTAGAGCTCCAAGTTAGTCAAGGACGGGGTATGGCGTGTTACAAGGTGGTAGGTTGAGGGGCTAGGGGTTAGGGAGTTTGAGTTTGGAGGGGGGGGGGGGTTGGTGTGATAAGGTGGAAAGAAAATTTTAGGAAAATGTTGTTTCTACTATTAGAAGGGAAATCATTTTTCTTAAATTAAATAACATAAGTTCATTTGAAAAATATTTTCTAGAATATTTAAGTCAATCAAACATCAAAAAAATTGAATTTTTTTTTTCTCTGTACCAAAATACACCCTCATCCAAAAGATCATTTTAGTCTGCAGCCAATTTGACTTCATATTTTGCAGGGATCACAAGGTTGGTTTCATTTACACTTTATGATCCCCAATACATCTTTTCTTCCACTCTTACAAATAATATCTCAAATTAACAAAGTGTTTAAGATATATAGATCGTTAATATAAAATATTATTTACAGTACTGCATATCTGATATATCCACTTTCATACTTTTAAACCACTTATGATGTTCCTCTTTCTTAAATTTTAAGGGTCGTTTGGTACGCGCACTAAATTATTCTAAGATTATAGTCTTGAAATTATAACTTTTGAACGATAATTATTTCACTTGAGAGATAGGATAAAACAATTCCAAGTTGAATGGGATAAAGTGAAATATTCCATTATTAAGTCTATATAAATATTTTTTACTACGTATAGTTAATTATATATATATATATATATATATATATATATTCAAAACTTAATCGTAAGATATCTCTCTTATTCTACGTACCAGATATATAAGTTAATCTCCTTATTAGTTTAGGGCCACGTTCTAATCTATTCCATATAGTTCTTAGTCATCCTCGACCCTATACAAAAAAAAATGAACTTCTTTTCATTGCACGAAGGATTTAAAAGACAACTTCTATTATTATAGTTGTGTTTTTCTAGATTAAATGTACCTTTTTTCTTATCACAAATGCGTATTTAGAATTTTTAGAATAGGGGTGTACCACTCAAAAAAAAAGTATCAAGTAAAATTGATCCCTATTCATTTACATAAAAAATGTATCAAGTAAAATTGATCCCTATTCATTTACATAAATAATGTATCATTCAATCTAGTGATTCATTTAGCATTTTCAAAACATGAATGTCAACTGCCAACATATAATACTAGATCAATTATAAAATATATATAAATAAAATGTTAAGTTTTTTTTGGAAAAATCATAAATTCACGTGCATCATAATTTTGACTTTAATTCACCCCTAATCATTAGTGATTGTCCTATAAATGTCTAGTAATATTTGGCTTTATATATTTTCTTCATAGTGTTCGATGTACATAAAGTTCTCACTTAGACAAAGTCCAAT